CGAAGTTCTTTATCCAGGAATAACATAATTAAGAAAGGTATACTTAAGAAAATATATATTGAAAAGAATATTCTTTAGGCTAAGACAGCAAAGAGACAGTACAGATCAATTGTGGTAACTAGTATCAAATTGATGTATTAATATGGAGGAAGTACATTTATTTACAAAATATTTGTGGCAGGCATGATATCGCTTCTGAAAACACAAGAGCTGAAAAGGCTGAGCTTAGGTTAAATGGTAGCTCGTGGACCAGGATTAAATTGACTGAATTAGTAGGACAGGGTTATTAGGAAAAGTATACTAGAAATACTTCCGATTTGTATTAAAATGACTGAAAGCAGTTGAGCGTGTAAGAGCCTTGTTTGTACATGCAATGAGGATCATACTTCATCAGGTCGCTCACTGCCAAGCTGAAACAAAGATGTACTTGATGAAAAATCTTTCTCCCTACACATGAACTTGACATCACTCAGAATTTGGTAGGCTGGGGAAGGACTGTCAAGAGTTTATGTCCAACCTGGGCTACAGAGTGAGTTCAAGGCTAGCCTAGGCTGCATAGTGATGCTGTGTGTTTGCGTGTGTGTAAAATAACTGACCAAAGAGGGGGGAAAGGCATTAGTTAGCAGCTGATTCAAATTGAAGAATCTGGACTAATTTTACTGAAGCTATTTAAGAACTTCTGTTAGTCAATGTTACTGTGGAAACATCAGAAAGTTGTGGCCTCAGGGATGAAGTGAGTATCTGCTGGGGAAATCTGGGTTGTTAAAATGCACGATTGTGGCCAGGCGGGTGCTGGTGCACACCTTTAATCCCAGCATTTGGGAGACAAAGACAAGTGGATCTCTGTGAATTTGAAGCCAGCCTGGTCTACAAGAGCTAGTTCCAGGACAGGCTCCAAAGCTACAGAGAAACCCTGTCTCGAAAAACAAAAACAAGCAAATATACAAACAAAAAATAGGGTGCAACTTTCCCTTAAACGTATTGGTTTTCCTGGACTTGCTACTGCAAGAATATCAGAACAGAAAGAAAAAGGGGAATTAAGATGAAAGATTATGGAAAGTGAAACAGTCATATGTGTTCACCAAATATTCTGAGTACACTGAGTTTTCCAACCAGGTTTCTGACAGAATGTCATAGTGTCTCAGGTAACTCTGGTATGTGTTGCATGTCTGGAGACTTTGACGTCTATAGCCAGCCGTGGTGATATGCGCCTGTATTTTCATCTTTGGAGACTTTGGTAGGATTATGAGTTCAAACTGACCTGAGCTACACAGTGAGATCCTGTCTTAACATCCTTCATTCCCCACTACCAGAGATCGCTCTGGCAGCCTTACAGTATCAAAATCTGTACTTTTCAGAGAATCAAAAGATTCTCTGGCAGTTTACTGGGCAACCGCTATGAACAGAGCCCTCTGTTGAACTGTGGTATGTTTCAAGGTAGGGACTTGAAAACTTCCATTACAGAAGAGGGAGTGGAGGTATTTTAGATTTGCTACTTTTTGAAGGGACTGTGTGTATGTGTGGACATGCACATTCTACCACAAGCATACGAAGGGCAGAAATCAGCTTGCTGGACTCCATTTTCTCTTTCAACCATGAGGTTCTTGGGGACCAAATTCAGGTTGTCGGGCTTAGAGCAAGTGTTTTTTTCCCACTGACCCATCTTGCTGGCTTGTATTTTAGATGTTGCACACTGTCACAGTGACTCAGCTCTGGTTTGCTCTGGCATGAAAGTCACCATAGGAAATGCACGAATGGATATAGATGTGTTCCACTAAATCTTTATAAAAACAGATGGATCTGGAAGATGGTTTAAGGGGTAATGAGTCTCTGTCCTGACAGTCAGCTCCCAAGTAATGACATGGAGACTTACAATGAAAGCTCAGCCTATGGCTGAGACTTGTTTCTAACTAGCTCTTATAAATTAACTCGTATTTTTATTAGCTATATTCTACCACATGGCTTTTACTTGTAGCTCATTCTGTGTGTCCAACTTGTTCCAAGTCTGGCTGGCTTTCTGCCTATCATCTCTCCAGAGTCCTCCCTGTGCCTGGAAGTCCTGCCTATACCTCCTGCCTAGATACTGGCCATTTAGCTCTTTATTAAACCAACTAGAAGGCACGTTGGCAAAATACACATATTCACAGTGTACAAAGAGATTATTTCACAACATTAATGGGTAGAATCATTTACTTTGCAAGCAAAGGGACCTGAGTTTGAATCCCAACTACCCATGTTAAATTTGAGCATAGATGTGTCTGTAATCCCAGCATTGGGGGCAAAGTCAGAAGAATCTGGAGAGTCCTCTGGCTTCCAGCCTAGCCAAAACAAAAACAGTGAGTTTCCCTTACAGTCACAAGGCAATATGGTAAAGAGTAGAGAAGACAATGTTCCTGCTCTGGCCTCTACATGTGTGGGCACAGCGAAGCTGTACACACATGCATGCAGTACATACACACACTTAAAACCATAAAACAAAAATAGATGGAGGACCACTTGATCAGAGCCATGCTCCTTTGCCCACCAAGCCATCTTGCTGGCCCTGGTTCTCATACTTCGGTATCCCTCAGAACTATACTATCACATCAGATTGCTGGGCCCCATGCCAGAGGTTTCTGATCCTGTAGGTCTGTGGATGGTTTGTCTACTGTAGTATTTAATGTCTGATATCTAACACACTGGTCAAGTTCTGCAGAATCAATTTTTCAAAAGTCTAAAGAGTTTGTTAAAGTGAAGGCTAATTTAGTAGGTTTGGCTTGGAAGTCAGAGAGTGATAGTGACATTGGTTGGTCTGAATATACTTGAAGTTACAAGTAGCTAAGGATCATAACCCTCTATAGGCATCAGAATATTTTTTTTAATCATAGTCTAAATACAGTTTAATCTTCAAGTCTCATCTTAGGCTAACTTTTGCTCTTCTCATACCTGACGTACAACTGGATAGCAAATCTTTTGATTCTACTCTCACAAGGTCAAATGAACCCAACCCTCATCACCACCTTACTGGTCCACAATTACAATGTATAGTGAATCTAACTCACCTTGCAGTTTTGCCTGGTTTTGGTTACACCTCTGTCGCTTGCTGATTTGATTAGCCCATTCCCTGGTTTCCTGGCTTCTGCTTTTACCTCTCACCTCCACCACACACTTGAAATTTTTATATAGCAGTGATTTTTTTGTCTCCCCTCCCCACCTGGTTTTTTGGTAGCTTTGGTGTCTGTCCTGGAACTAACTCCGTAGACAGGCTGGCCTCGAACTCACAGAAACCCACCTGCCTCTGCCTCCTGAGTGCTGGGATTAAAGGTGTGTGCCGCCACCACTGCCTGGCAGCAGTGATTTTTTTTCTATTTTGTTTTTTTTTATTTATTTTTTTTTTTATTTTTGAGACAGGGTTTCTCTCTGTAGCCTTGGTTACTCTGGAACTTGCTGTGTAGACCAGGCTGATCTTATAACTTATTGAGACCAACCTGCCTCTGCCTCCCAAGCCCAAGTGCGCCACCACCCACTGCATAAGAGTGATTTAAACACAAGAGGATGAAATGAACATCCCCTCTCACTCAGCAGATACTGGTCAGGCCCCTTCTATGTCTATTTCCCACTCCTTGCTCTAGCCACTGTTGGACCCATTAGGACTTTTTTCCTTGACCGGATCTCATCATGCAGCTCTTGCTTGGGCTGAACTCACTGTGTAGACGAGGCTAGTCTTCAACCCAAAGAGGCCTACCTGCCTCTCCCACTCCACTGCTGGTATTAAAGGCAGGGGTGCCCATGTGAGGTTCCTGTTAGGTCCTGGTAAATGATGCTCCCTTTAGTTTTAGAAAAGTCTCTTCCAAGCCTTGTTTCCTTCAGTCCTTGCTCATAAGTCCCCAGGAAGGTTCTTGCTAGCCACCTTTTCCTTCCTTCACTTTCCTGTAACTTGTGCACGCCATTCCCTACAAACTCCGTATCCAGTCAGTAGTTTTGTTCACCATTCCTAATACAGAAGAGTTCCTAGCACATCAGATGTCCAATAAATATTCAGACGTACAGAGTACAGACTTTACAGTTAACTGGAGTATCTCAAGGCCACAGGCTGCTGTTGTTCCTCCAGGAAACGGGCCTGCTGGTATTATTCATTTTAATCCCTAGAGAAGAGCAAGTTTGGTAGAATCCTCTTCTAAATCTTTTCATGGAATTTAAATTATAAGTTGGTCATTTGCTGTTGTCATACAACACTACACTGAATTTTCCATGGATCATATTCCTTTTAGGACATTTTTCTAGAGCACTCATTTTCTACTCATTGTCCATCCTCGCTTTGCCCACCTCGCAACCCACGGAAAAATTCTCTTATAGAAAACTTCCAACCCCATCTAGCACAGTCTTTGATGTTTTGGGTAAAATCTAAAAAAAAGTGTGTGTGAAAGCTGAGAAACTCAGGCCCTGGGCCTACTTGTTATCTCAGGGTAGGTGAAGATGGCTTTAAACACGACCTAGGGAATTTTAGCACATCAAAAAGCCTCTAAGGATGCTCATTTTCCAGGGATTCTACAGAAAATGCCTAGGTTACTGGATGACTTATGTGGCCATTTGTCTTCATTCAGCCCTTTCAGGGTGTTTGCTTGCTGTGCATATAGATGGAATTCTGGAAGCTGGAATTACACCACCACCCCACGCATCCCTTACTTTCATAAACCTTTGCCTCCTCCAACCCCCACCACCCCCAAATAAGGGCTCAACAAGCGGCAATCCCCGGCTCCGGAGCCTGCTGCCTGACACCTATTGTCCCCGTTTGGGTGTCAAGTGATTTTGCCTGAAGGACCCCAGTTTAGATTACACTCAAAAACTCAAATCACGGCAGCAGTGTCCTCTGTGAGCGTACTGTCCAGCTCTGCAGATCGGCAGGACCCCGGCGTAGAGGTTCCGGCCAGGCGGAGACGCGGTCCTACGATCTTTCCTGACAGGCGTTCACGTCGGGCAGCCCCAGCGGCTTGAAGGCCCCCGCCCTCCCCCTCCGAGCGGTGGCTGGCTAAGTCCCTCCCGCGCCGGCTCTTGTCCCACTAGGAGCAGCTCAGTGCAGCCGGGACAGGGCGAAGCGGTCTGCGCCCACGGAGCGCACGCCTCTGCTCGCAACGCAGCACCACCCTTGCCCCCGTCGGCTGCCCACTCCACACGTCCAGCGGCTCCGCGCGCGCACGGTGAGCGCCATCCCGGACCGAGGCGCCGAAGGGGAAGAGGGCCGCTGCGCCTGAGTGTCCTTTTTACCTTCGGGGCGGCCCGAGCGGCGGCAGGGGCTCGCTCCAGCCTTCCCCACCCCCACCCCGCTCACTCCAGTGCCCTCCTCCACCCCTGGCCCTGACCTCTGTCCCTCTCGCTCTCGCCAGGCAACGGGTGCCGCCCGACCCGATGGGG